ATAATATACATGCGCTATATATCAGGGGAAAATATTTTGCTTTCTCACATGTGAAAAGCAAGGATGGCTGTTATCCAGTGGTGAAATCCAAATTTTTTACTACCGGTTCTGTGGGCGTGGCTTGGTGGGCATGGCAGGGGAAGGATACTGCAAAATCTCTATTCCCTCCCCACTCCTGGGGGAAGGATATTGCAAAATCACCATTCCCACACCACTCTGGGGCCAGCCAGAGGTGGCATTTGCCAGTTCTCCGAACTACTCAAAATTTCTGCTACCGGTTCTCCAGAACCTGTCAGAACCTGTTGAATTTAACCCCTACTATTATCCATAGTTTAGTAATGATACTTTCAGACTCAAGAGAGGCAAGATGAGCAGCCGAACTGCTGCAAAATAAGAAAGTGAAGATTTCAGCCTTCATGAATCAGGTTACTGCTGAGATTCATGTCAGCCCGCCAACTTCTTGTTGCTTTGCTATGATCTGTTGCATTTAATGAACTGTCAGTTGGCTGTGATCCATTCCCTCTTTCACTCGTTCATCTTCTATTGTTATTCTATGGCACCAAATGTACCACATTTTGGCTTAACAGGACCTGAACTTCACAGGGAGGAGCAACGAGATTAAAAACCCAAGGTCCATTTTCAATTTTATTTTTAACTTTCTCGCAAAATAATTGTACATGAGCAGGCCCAGGCCTCCACATCACCACTGGGTTCAACCCAACTATATTTAGATATATCTCGATTTCTAAAGTTTAAGAATCCTAAAAAAAAAAATCTTCAGATTTCAGTGAAAAAGTTAAATACCTAATTGGTTCTCTTCTGCTGGAACCAGTAAGACTTTAAAACGTTTGAAAAAAAGATTTGTTGAGATGTGGGTTTGTTGTGGGTGTATGATGTGAAGGGGTGTTTTGGGACCTTAAATATGATAAACTGCCAATAGTTTGCCTGGAAATGCTATATGCAGAGGATACTAATTCTGAATGCCCTATGGAAGACAAGTACAATTGCTGCCTGTAATCAAATTGTGACATGCAAATCAAATTAGTAATCTTCTAATTCAAGGAATCTTCTGGGCATTTTAAAGCTAATAAGCTTGCACATGTCTGACTCCCTGATTCTGCCTTCTTCCAGGCTTCAGAGATTTCCTGGAGAATCTTGAGAGGCCTCCTGGCTCCATATGCTCCGATGAAGGATATGGTTGCAAGGTGAGTGGTAATAGGTTTTTTTGAGTTAGCTCTTTCTCTGTTTGAAATACCAGTTAATGCAAGACCAATGTTGTGGCCCGCCAGCAGCCTGTGCGGATCGTGGCTGATCCCGACGACGAGGAGGCTGGTGTGGTGTCGTGCCAGCAGCCGGCACTCGCGTCAGACAGCAAGGAGGCTGAAGAGGATGTGGTGCCAGAGGCAGAGACTCAGCCTGGGCCTTCAGAACCTCCAGAGGCTCCTTCAAGTGCAGAGAGTGAAGTGGAGGAGCCTCTCTTCAATGCTCGAGCACGCAGGGCTGCCAAAAGGCAGGAGTGGCTACTCAGGAGGAGGAGGTCTACTCGAGAGTAAGGCTTGAGGATAATTGGCCACTCCCTTAGCCTATTTAAGTCACACGCTGTTAGTAAGTTTCTTGCTGAAAACAACTTGTAATTATCATCAGAGCATTTTTGGAAAAATCTTATCGTATCTTGCTTTCTGGGCTGGTTGCCAACCTTTGCCGGACTTTGGTTTATTCTTGCTACTTAATAAATTTGATAAGGACTGTTGGTGTGTGTCAATATCTTCGGGAATCCGGAGCTGCGGCAGAACAACCAAACTCTCTGTTGGTGTAATGGATTAATTGCTTGGGAGTTCCTTGGCCCTGGAAAATTTTAACAAGGTTGCAACATCAATATAGGAAGCTTGGGTGGAAATTGTAATCGCTTTCCTATTGTCTGGTGTACCACATTCCCAGAGATCCTCCAGGGCTGGATAGATCCTCCATAAGCTAGATAGGGGTGGACCGAAGCCATTCCTCCTGAGATAATGTGTTGATCTTGTTGTTGTCTCCAACAGATACAACAAGATTTTAAGCAATGCAAATCTGGAAGCTTGCTCATAAAGATCCCCCGGAAGTAGCACGCTGCCTTCCAATTCGTGATCTAAGAGCATTGTGGGGCGGTAGAGTCCATGCAAGCAAGGCCCACAGTATGAGTGCTGGTGTCAACATAACTATTTCTTGTTTTTATCTGTTTAGCCTGCCTGAATGTTTAGGTTCATTCTATGTTGTTTTCTTTTTTTTTTAACAGCTGAGGAGTCACTGAAGGATCGGAGCAAAAGGAATTTTGCCTTGCCTATCTCCCCGGACATGAGGTCCTTTTGTGGGTCCTTGAGTAGTTGTCATAATCATGATCAAAATTAAGCTTCACCCTAGGATATTTTCCTTGATGGTAGTCCCCAAAACTTCCATGATGAAATGGTTTCCAGGATAATGCAGCTAACTGGGTGTTTTATCCTACCCCTATTATTTGTGTGCATATCTTCAATATTCCCAATTTTCTCTATTGTTGGTCCCAATATATTTTCTCATTCCTTCTAGGGGAAGAGCTTTATCACATTTGATGGTTGCAGCCCAGTGGTGAAATTCATTTTTTTTACTACAGTTTCTGTGGGCGTGGCTTGGTGGGTGTGGTGTGGCTTGACACTATCAAACAACAACATCTCCCTATCCCCGGGGCCTTGGGAGGGACTTGATGTGAAGATAAAAATGTCAGGTCCAGTTTAAACATCTGGCTGACTGTGCAACTAACCATAATAAAAATAATGGTATTTCCCCAGAAGGAATATATCCCCTTCTAGTTACTGGGCTAGATGAAAACTGGAAATTAACAAAAATGGAAATCTTGCCTGACAGCTGCAAGAGGCTTTTATTATAGGCCTGTGTGAGGTCGCTGCAATTCGCCTTGTCAAGGGGCTCCGTCAGGGGTGGGTCCTAAATTTTTTTACTACTGGTTCTGTGGGCATGGCTTATTTTGTGGGCGTGGTTTGATGGTCACGTGACAATTCTTTAGGATTTTGCAGAGATACTGGTCTACCAGGCTTTTAACTGTTTGTAGATCTGTACTGGTCTACCCATTTGTTCTTGGAGCGTCCTGGTCTACCCATTTGTTTTTTGAGTGCCCCGGTCTACCCATCTGTTTTTGGAGCGTCCCAGTCTACCCATCTGTTTTTGGAGCGTCCCGGTCTACCCATCTGTTTTTGGAGCGTCCCAGTCTACCCATTTGTTTTTCGAGCGCACTGGTCTACCACCCACTGCCTTTTAACCCTGATCAGCTGTAGGGTGGCCCTTTGAAGCCCTGCGGCAAGAGTTTAAAACAGTTTTTTTCCTTCTAGCCATCAGCTGGGACTTGGGAGGCAGCGAGTAGATTGGGGGCAGGGCCAAATAAAAGGTAAGAATAACGCGGGTGGGGCGGGAGGGCCCAGCTCCCGAACAAAGAGAACCGGTTCGGTGACGTCATATTGTCACTGCTACCGGCTTGGCTGAACCGGGCTGAACCGGGAGGAACCCACCACTACCAACCTACCTTTGCACCAGAAGGAGGCACACACTGAAGGCTATCAGCGAATGCACATCTCCTCCAAGACCCATCCATGAAAAGGAAAGGTTTTATGCATGTTTTCTCAGCATTTGCAGAAAAGATTTTTAAAAAGCAGGAATTCTACCAATTGGGAGCAGTAATAAACATGTTCCAGGCAGAATACCAAGTCATCATCATCATAGCCAAAATGGAGAAAGAGGATGAAATCTGAAAATGAATTTCTTAAACCAACTTCATTTGCAACCTCTTTATGGATAGGAGTCCATAGCTTATGACTACAATGCAAAATAATAATAATAATAATAATAATAATAATAATAATAATAATAATAATATGATGATGATGATGATGATGATGATGATGAATTATTATTATTATTATTATTATTATTATTCCTCATATTATCTTTACAAAGATGCCAAGTATACATAATCCTAAATCACTTAGGTCTGTCATTAGCTGCATTAGTTGACAAGGGAATGACCCAGTGAAATGACCTGTGTCTCTGACCTTGTTTATAATGTATCTTCCTTGTCAATGCAAAGTTCCTCAAGGCAACAAACTGACAAAGCAATTCAGAAAACTCACGAAGCTATTCTATTTGTGATTCTTTCTCTGACTTTCTATTCAAGGAAAGTCAAGGAATCATGGTCAAGGAACAGTGTAACCAACATAATTGTTTATAAAAATGCTTATTTAGTTTTCTAGAACAATTGACCAAGGCCGGTTTCTGCAACTCTGATTCTAGTGTCCAGCACTGTTTTTGCACCTGCCTGAGTGTGTAAAGGACCCATAGAGGTGAAAGTTAATAGCAGCTTTTTAAAAAGAAGAAGAAGAAGGGAAGAATTAGCCAAATTTGTTTATGGTACAACCGATTCTGGCCTAGTTAAAAAGCTGCCACTTAATATGTTATGTGAATAAGGACAATCTTTATTATGATCTTTTCGTGCAGCTATTATAATCAGTCTGGTCTGATTCTTGAAATGTTGAGAGACATCACTCTGAAAATCTTGAAGATGCTGAAGACTGATTGCTTTCAACTTCACTTTTAATCTGTTCAAAAATGTACCAGCCTCTGCAGTTACTAAAGAAATGTGGTAAAGAAATATAAAGAGAAACCTTTTTTCCCCAGTACAAATTTCCAAATCACAGTAGAGAAAATATTATTAATTCTCCAGGCTGCTATGTTTTTGTTTTCAGTTAAAGCATTTCATCCATTTTTGTTTCCTGCTTTCCACTACAGATTTGTTTTCATGCTCAGCATATCTTATGCAACATCATCTTCCCATCTTATCATAAAAACAGGGGAGGCAAACTCTGTAAAAGTTGCAGGGAAAAAAAAAGTGATAGATGTCCTGATGTTCTTTTAATCCAAACGGAAATGTCCCTAAATATGACACTTGCCATTTATAATATCATAGACAAAATAACTGTAAATGCAGTTTCAGCAAAGATTTATTGATATTCCATCTACGTTTTTTAAAATCAGTCCTTTCTGAGCTGTGGATATCTTTGGATATCTCTGGATTTCAGCAGGTCTTATACCAAGCCATTGGTCTTGCTATCTGCGGATGAATAATAGTAATAATAATAATAACTTTATTGTCATTGTACATATATACACAGTATACCCATACAACAAAATTCACTTAATACCCAAAGACCAGGTCCAACACACATAACAATCCCCAAACACACTCCCACCCACCACAATTCCCCACCCCTACACCACCCAAACATCCACACAACAGACCAAGTAATGCTGTCCAACAGCTCACTGATGGTGGCCCTTTAGTTCATTGTTGAGTGCAATTATAGCTCTGGGATAAAAAAAAAAAAACGAAGAGACTAGATGTAACTTAAGTTCTGTGGACCTCATCTCAGATCTAAGGGTTTCCTAAGGGAGCATGTGTCAGATCTGCCCAATCCAATCCCTTAGGACAGAAAAGCCTTTGACTCCATTTGGTTAAAGCAAAGGATTCTTTTACCAAGAGTGTTGGTTGCAGTAAAGTCAAGCCAGCTCTGAAATTACCATGCTTGCAGATACAAAAATAAGGTATAGAATTTGCCCCCAGACCATCCGTCCCCCGGTGACCAGTCCATTTCCAACCAACTGGAACTCGCCAAGATGTTTTGACAACTCTGAGGTGTTTAGGGGGTAAACCCACATATTTCTCAGAGTGCTTGGCTGTGGGATGCTGATGCAAACAGGATCCAGTTGTTCTGGTCTTTATCACTTGTCATCCCCCCCCTCCTGATTTCCTATCGTGTACATACAAAGCTTTATTGCCCATTCATCCTCCCCCCCCGCCCTTCTTCCCTAAAGTGCTATCGTTCCTATCACATTTTAATTTTTTTCATTTGGCAAATTCGTAGTTTTTGTTTGATGGACAAACAAAATAAATGAAAATCATAGACCAACAATAGGAGAGTGCCTAGGTTGGAAAAGCTATATTATACCCATAATATAACTGTACAGGTAGTCCACAAATGACCACAATTGAGCCCAAAATTGCTATTGTTAAGTGAGACATTTGTTAAGTGAGTTTTGCCCCCATTTTACAACTTTCTTGCCACAGTTGTTAAGTGAATCTCTGCAGTTGATAAGTTAGTAACCCAGTTGTTAAGAGAATCTGGTTTTCCCATTGATTTTGTTCGTCAGAAGGTCCCAAAAGGGGATCACATGACCCTGGAACACTGCAACCTTCATAAATATGAACCAATTGCCAAGCATCTGAATTTTGATCACATGATCATGGGGATGCTGCAAAGGTCGTAACTATGAAAAACAGTCATAAGTCACATTTTTCAGTGCTGTTGTAACTTTGAGCAGTCACTAAACGAACGTTGTAAATCGAGGACTACCTGTATTTGGATTATTCTTGATTTTACATCTAGCCTCTCAGGATGAAATTCAAATAAGGTCATTTTCAATACACTTTTCTTCAATACTTGTTTCTGTTTAAAAAAAAGAAGAAGAATATGAGAACAAGAAAATATCCTTTAAACTGAAGAAGTTGTTGATCTAGAAAGTTGAAGAAATAGAGAACAATAAATACATGCTGCCCAGAGTCCCTTCCTTGTAAGATGGGAAGGTATATCAATTAGATAAATACCGTATTTTTCAGAGTATAAGACACACCTTTTTCCCCCCTAAAAGGGGGTGAAAATTTAGATGCGTCTTATACACTGAATGTAGCCCCGCCCACCCACTGGCCCCCACCCTTTGGCCCCTGCCTCGCAGCAGTTACCTCCTTGCAAGCAAACAACAAGAAAAAACAGTTCCTTTCAGCTTCAGCACAGCCTAATTAGCACAAGTTGATTGGATCAGCCTCCCAACTCTCCGCTGATTTGCTCTCAGCTGTTTTGCGCAGGGCTCTGCTGCTTGCTGCAAAGAGGTAAATTGTTGGAGCAGATTTTTTTTCCTTGTGCTAATCAAGCTATGCTGAAAATGAAAATGAAATTAAAGCAGGTTGTTTGCTGCAAGGAGGCAAAATTGCTCAGAGGCAGAAGCAGAGGCAGAGGCAGATTTCTTTTTCTTCTTTTCCTCACCAAAAAAGATAGATGCGTCTTATACTCTGGTGCGTCTTATACTCCGAAAAATATGGTAGTTAAATAAATAATCTAAGACCTGTGTGAATCCAGCCTTCATAGAATTACCAGCTACTTACTACTAGTTGGAGAGCTGAAAGAGGACTATCATTAAATTTAAGTATTTGAGTTAAACTATTAACCTTCATTCATCCTCTCTACAAAATGATTCCACCCTAAAAACAGAAACCGATGAAAATGGTTGAACTTTCTACTTGATGTCCGGCCAATCACTACACGAGCTCTTCCAATCTGGGATCCTACATCTATATTGGATCCTATTGCAGAATCGTAGATTTGGAAGGGCCCTAAGAAGTCATTAGGCCCAGCCCTCTGCCCATTCTAGAATTCACCTCACCATCTCCGCTAGATGACTTTTATTTGAAAACTGCCTGTGAAGGGAAAGAAACCACTGCATGTGGTAATTTATGCCACTAAACCAGGGGTGTCAAACTCAATTTCGTTGAGACCCACAACAGGTTTGTGTTTGACCTTGAGGGGCCGGGGTGGGCATGGCCAGAGTGGGTGTGACCAGCTTGACGTCACTCATGTCGGGGGCACCTGTGGCGGCCGAAGTGCTCTGCCAGTGAAAATGGGCTCCTGAGCTCCATTTTTGGCTACAACTGTATCCTGCAACCCTCTGCCAGTGAAAATGGAACTCGGGAGGGCTGCATGCGGGCCTTGTAAGCTCCATTTTTGCTGGCAGAGGTACCGTGGGCCGGTCTTTTGCTGTTTCCAGGGCAGCCCCATCGGCCAGATCTAAGCACCCCGAGGGCTGAATCCGGCCACCAGGCCTTGAGTTTGATACCCTTGCACTAAACCCTTGAAGTTTTATCCCAATAATTTTAGTCTTATCCCCTGGAGAAAGTGAGAATAAATCTAAACCCTCTACAAGGCGACTGCCCTTCAGATATTTGAAGATAGCTCTCATGTCCCTTCTCAGCCCTTTCTGTAATCTGTCATCAGTAAGCAGCAATCTCTCTACTGGTGCTAGGAATGATAGGAAAATATAGTGGGGCTACAGCAAAGTATGCAGAGTTTCTTGAAGGAAGGACAGCATCAAAGGAGATAATAAAGGGATAACTCAACACATAAGCATGCATACAGCTAAGGAGAAAAAAAAGATAGATTGTTTGATAATAGAAGAGGATCAAAAGCAGAATCTCAAGCTACTCATAAATGCATATACCGGAAGGTAATGTCCAACATGCTTCTATGCAACATCTGTGGAAATTTGATGTTTAGAATTGGAATGGGAACTGCTGATGGACTGAGCCAAACCTGATAAAATAAGATATACATAATAAAAGTAAGGCAGGTGTTTACAGTCTCACTAAATAATTGAAGTTTTTAAACTCATCCTTTAGTTCTGATATACGGTCTGTTATATTATAATCTTGAAGCAGCTCATTTCATACAAAGTGCAGCGAGGTTCATTTTTGCTTTGTAATGTGCATACACAGAGACGGACTTTGATTTGTATGCCTGAGGGTGGATCAAAGAAGCACATAATTTCTATTAAAGTTCCCATTGTTAAGAACCACCGGTAAATTCCTCTCCCTCTCGTAACATGGCTATTTTCCAGTGCTGGAAAAACTGCAGCACTGTTTTTCTCTAACACACACAGGGAGAGTGGTAGGAAATAATGCTGAAAGAAAATTGTATTAAAGAAGGTTATTAAATCAAAGAAAACATTAAAAGGCAGCTGGTTAGTGCAACCATCACCATTTTAACCTCATAAGCTTTGCATTCTTTTCAGTGATAAAATTCTATATGTTCTTGTGCATGCATGCGTGCGTGTGTATACATGTATACATATTATTTTGTGCACAGGCGTAAAGACATGTCACAAACAACAGCTACACAAATAGAAAATGCTTGCAAAAATAGTCTAGTTTTCTTCATATTTAGTGAGAGGGGAGCTTGGATGTAGCAGAGGTGCAGCTTCCACATGTGACCCCAAAATGAATGCATGAGGACATCTTTTTAACCATTTGTCTTCTATAAACTGGAACAAGGAAAATAGTGTGAGCTTCGCATATTACTGTGGTATGAGCACAGAGCAAAGGAACTGTAGCAGTTTCCGTAGAACAAGCTTAAGGTCAATGCACGAAATTAGTCTGATATGAAACAGTCTTCGCTATACATTTCTTTAGTTTAGCAGTTGTGATGAAGGCTGTAAGGCACTAGGTTTTCCTCGATAGCTACTGTATGTTCTACTTCCGCACACAATGTATCATTGATATAATCCAAACTCATTGTGGCCTGATGTTTTTATTATCAGAGTATCGTTGTGTTCCGGAATGATATGAAGATATATGGAATAATTCAAATCAGTAAAAGCTGCTTCTTGTGGTAAATTTTATCTTTGGCAGCCCTTACTCATCTCCTGTCCTAAATTATTTTATTTTATATTTAATTTTATTTATTTAAATTTATATGTCTTCCATCTCACTGAAAAGGTGACTCCGGGTGGCTATACTTAAACTGCTCTTAAACTGCCACATGAACTAATTTTCTAAGGAGCTCTGGTAGCACAGCAGACTAAAGCACTGTTATTAACATCAGCTGCCTGCAATTACTGCAAGTTCAAATCTCACCAGGCTCAAGGTTGACTCAGACTTCCATCCTTTCTAAGGTAGGTGAAATGAGGACCCAGTTTGTGGGGGCAATAAGCTGACTTTGTATAAATATATTTATAGGCTATTGCTTAACGCATTGTAAGCCGCCCTGAGTCTTCGGAGAAGGGTGGCATATAAATCAAATTTTTTAAAAAAATCAAGTTAATTTTGAGCAAAAAAAAGGGGAGCTGATGTAGCTGCTGCATAAGGTTCAAACCAAAGACAACATATAGCTTTGGACTCTCATCACTTATGTAACTGACACAAATATTTCAAAGAAGTCCAATTCAGTTGCATAATATGCCTTGATTTCCAAAATAAGAACATCAGAAGTATGCTTTGGTCAAGCATGTTTAAGGATAGGCAAGTCACATCCCAATTTTGATGTCTGTGGAAAAAGATCCTGCATATGAAGGAAGAAATAAGAACTGCCAAAGTAGTTTTATGTCATACCTATAAGAGCCATTTCTTGGCCATATGACATTTTAAAGACGATGGGTTTCTTAGAACAATATGTAACAATCCTGGCAACAAGAACTGAAAGTTGCTAATTATGCACTCTCTTGCTTCACTTTTCCCCCCCAAATATACAAGTAACAGAGAAGGCAGGCTCCTATTGTGCAGCTCAATATTTTGAAAGTCTGTGACAAATATGAGAAATTGGATGTAACAGTGTGAAAAGTGGCATCAGCTTTAAAGAAGCCCATGCCTTTCTTTGTCAACTAAAAGAATCATATGTTTCAGTCCAACAGCCACTATCCACCATGTCTAGGATTGCCAAATGGGTTTTTTTTCCCCCAACCCCCTTGGCATTGCCAACTCGTTTTCTGACAGATTTTCCTGCACCCGCAGCAGCAGGGCTATGAAATTGGCATGTAGTAGCTTTTCCCGTCATGATATCTGCATGCTGAGAAAAATTCTACATCACCTGAGATGCTGCTTGCCACTCAGCTGTTTAATAGCTCCCCAGAAAATGAGGCTTGCACAGATCCTTCGTCAAGTGAAGTGCCCCTCTGAATCTGCTTGTTTAAGGCCCGAAAGTGCTCTAGTTGCATGAAGGCGTGGCACTGACAGCTGTTTCTGTGACCCTCTTGGCATCTTCTATTCATGCATGCACGGAAGACATTTCTGCTGGGACAGCTGGTGAGGAAAACCTCCTGCCTAGGTCTCCCAATGGGATTGGTACAGAAAATGAATTCGCAGCTCTGCATTGATTCAGAACCCCAATATACTTGGTGTGTTCATAGTAGACTTTGTATATAATTCATCATAGAAACTGGAAACTTAAGGTGTCTTGCATTTGTGAACTCTATTCCTTATACTGCCGAATGGGTGTGTTTGTCCTTTCCTCAGGAATTCATGATATACCATATCTTTTTAAAACGGTCTTCCACCAAAAAGTAAGAAGCTCACATTTCCATGACTGTCTTTTTATGAACTTATTATTCTGTTAATAGCTCCCTGTTCTTGATGTGTCACTCGCAAGTAGATAATAGAATTTGTTAATGTTCTTTTTCTCCCAGGTTGACTTTTGCCTTGTTTTCAGCTTGTTACTTGAACTCCAGCAGAATGTAGAAACAAGAGGTTTCCCATAATCAGCCCAATAATCCTACTTCAAACCAAGAAACACGATTGCAGATGACAACTCATTATCCGGAAGCTGGGATAGGCTTGTCTTCTCTCTATTAGCTGTTCACCACCTACTGTATATTTTTCTTTCCTTGTCTCCTACCCCTACCTTTTCATTCCTGATCAAAGCCCTGATGCCGAAGTTCTCTTTTGTTTGTGAAATCAAGTAAGTTGCACAGCTCTAATTGAGGGTAGGCTCCCTGTCATTTATGCCAACAGTTCAGAAATCTCTATAACGTAGCTGCAGAAATGTCTAAAGCTTCCCGAATGACATCTCTCAAGATGGCAGCAAGGAAAGAGAGTATACTTTGGCTGGATCTGCCTGTCTCATGCACAAATGATTAAATCCGGGATCCAGATGACATCCAGCCCCTTTGAAAATGGATGGAACTTTTGTCTACCTCCACCCACTGCAAAAAAGAACAAAACAAAAAAAAAGGAAATATAGCTGGAGAGGGGGAAATTTTCATAGAAAAATAAATGAACCTGCCAGAGGCCACAAGCTAATTACCAGACTGCTTTAAAAGTTGAACTGAAGGCTCCATCCTTCTATTTGTTAGGAGACATTTTCGTACATTTTTTTTTCCAGACTGCTCAACCACTAGCTTTAGAAATAGAAAAGGTATGTAGTAATAATTCTCTATAGGCATTTATATTAACACTTTGTATTTAATAAGATAGTTTTATAGATTATAGAGCTATAATTGCACTCAACAATGAACTAAAGGGCCACCATCAGTGAGCTGTTGGATAGCATTACTTGGTCTGTTGTGTGGATGTTTGGGTGGTTTAGGGGTGGGAAATTGTGGTGGGTGGGAGTGTATTTGGGGATTGTTATGTGTGTTGGACCTGGGTGTTAAGTGAATTTTGTTGTATGGATATACTGTGTATACACATACAATGACAATAAAGTTATTATTATTATTATTTTACAAGATTCTGAAGTGTTGCAAAAAAACTGAAATCAGAGCTCATTGGAGGACCAAAAAGCAATGAATATCAGTGTATCTTCAGATAACAGAGAAAATATACTGCAATGGTCATGAAAAACTATTGTCTTAGGTTAGTCTTCCAGTATCTGACATCTGCACAGAATTCTTAGAACAGTATGTATCTTTTCTTATTTTAAAAAACTGATAAGCTTAGAATCAATATTTTATGCAGGTTGTCTGAGGGAAATCAGCAGAATATACTTTTCTGATCAATTCCATTAATATTTTTAAATGCAGAGATATTTTTTCACTCTGACTCAATGCAATTCTTGAAGAATGCCAACCATTCTTCAATTAATCACTTCTCTTCCCTTTTCTTTTTCTGTATTTTAACAATACTTGCAGCTATCCGGTGCTAGCATTTTAATTAAGATTATTTTCATACTAATTGAGACATCTATTAGAGGAAGACTATCAAACCTATGGGCTATATCTTTGTGTAATTATTTTGCACACAAATTTTCTTTATCTTTATTGCATCTGCATGTTTATTTTTATTCACTTGCTCCCAAAGTTTATCCCCACATACCTCCAATAGACGGAGTGCAGGGGTGAAATCTACTTACCTCCCCTACCGGTTCCGAAGTGGGTGTGTGCGCCATCATCATGTCCGATTTTTGACCCTCTGCTCATGCGCAGAAGGCTTTGAGCATGCGCAGAGGGTTAAAAACCAGGAAGTAACGACGTCCGGGTGGATGGGTGGAGCCTTGTGCTGCCGCCACTATTGGTTCGCCGAACCATGCGCTGCCAGCACTACCAGTTTGCACAAGCCGGATGGAACTGGCAGGATTTCCCCACTGGGTCAGTGGTCATAAAACAGACCAATAGATCATTGTTTATTGGCCATGGGGAAGCTAGAAGCTAGAACATTTTTGCTAGCTCACAAATTTAAAGAATAGATATTCTCAAGCTAATACTGTTATTGAGCTTATGAATAAAAAATGTTTATATGCTGTTTCTTGAACATGCATGTTTAAAGAGACAGAGTGGAAATCAAAATATATAAAAACTAAACCCATTAAAAAAAAACTCACAAAAATTACCAAAATAAGAAAACCACTGAATATAAATCTCAAATGCAATGAAACTGATTAAAACCAAGCAAGTATAATGTTTCTGCATCACGTGTGAAAGGTTTAAGAGGCAAATTGACAAGTGGCTATTTGGGCAAAATAGTGTCCATCTGGACAATAACAACAAATGATTCTTCTGTCATCTTGCTGCTGACTTCTTGTGGGGAAAATAAGGCCCCCAATTGGTTTGTGTGGGAGGAGGAGGTAGTTGTTTGATACTTAAATACCAGAACCTTGAACTGTATTCAAAATAGACTAGCATTAAATGAGGAAATTTCCACTTCCTGATTAGCGATTGAGTTCCATTCCAATGACCAAGTCATTAAGCAAAATGATTGCAGAGAGAGGGAAGGGAGGGAGGGAGGGAGGGAGGGAGGGAGAGAGAGAGAGAGAGAGAGAAAGAGAGAGAGAGAGGGAGAGGGAGGGAGAGAGAGATACTGCAAGGACCACTGGTTGCTGCTATCTCATTCGGATAATTAACAGATTAACAGAGTTGGAAGGCGACCTTGTAGGTCTCCTTGTAAGAATCTCCAGCCCATTTCTGACAGATGGTGCCCAGTCTCTTCTTGAAAGCTTCCAGTGATGAAGCTCCCACAACTTCTGAAGGCAAGCTATTCCATAGGTTGCTTGCTCTCACTGTCAGAAAATTTATCCTTAATGTAATAATGATAATGTTTTCTTGTACAGCTACAACAATGTTACTCTCACTCCATCATGCATGTTGTCAGGCGCACAACATTTGGTCATAAATGCATGCATTGCTCAGAAAATGATTTTTTTTATTACTCTTGTGTTTGCAAATGGTCACTAATTGAGGTACTTGATAAACGAGGAATGACTATGTCAGAAAATGATTCTAGCAATCCATTATATGTGCTTTTTGCAATCCTACCATACAGCACTGTGAACCAGCTTAACCTTCAGGTAATTGGTTTTTCTCAGCACTCTCTATTGTGACTGTTACTGGATTTAGGGGTTATATAAAACATAAGTTGAGGTTGATATTCTTAGGCACTGAAGAACTGATATTAAACAATATTTTATGAAAGCCCATCCCCTGAGATTCCCACCCCCATTGGAGAATTGAAAACTATTTAACACGAGATAGGATTAAAGGCCTCAACTTGTGTTAATTTTTGGTATTTTGCATATGTTTGTTTTCTTTCTACAAAGATGCTCCCTTGAGAAAATGGAAGGAAGCTTCAATAAAACTTCCAGAAAGAAAATGAATGGTTTTAACTTCCTCATAATCTGAATTCAGAAAGTGGCAAGCTGATGTTAGGAAAATGTTGCTGGACTGAGGTGCCCCAGAAGAAGATCTCTGGTGATTGCTTATGGAAAGTACCAGTATGTAATGAAATGTCATTCATGGTTGAAGAGGTAAATGCGGTTGGGGAATGAATGAATGGAGAGAAAGGGGACTGTTTCAATAGACTGAGTTCACTACAGCCTTAGATTTATTAAAAGGAAATAAAGTGTCCATCAGAGGCAGTCAAACTCTGGGGTTTATTTCTTAACTTTCTCCCCACAGAACAGGAACCGCTTTTAGTAATGAACTGCAAGACTGATACATTTACCCAAGTTGTGCTTAGAGGAAATTTGCTGTGCAGGAAAGGTATTGACTTGGATTGGGATTTGACATCTTAACTCCTTCCTTCCTTCCTTCCCTCCTTCCTTCCCTCCTTCCTTCCTTCCTTCGTTCCTTCCTTCCTTCCTTCGTTCCTTCCTTCCTTCCTTCTGAAAAGGAGGCTCATACCAAAGGCTATCAATGAAAACATCTTCCTTCCTTCCTTCCTTCCTTCCTTCCTTCCTTCCTTCCTTTCTTCCTTCCTTTCTTCCTTCCTTCCTTTCTTATGAAAAGGAGGCTCATACCAAAGGCTATCAATGAAAACACATCTCTTTCTTTCTTTCTTTCTTTCTTTCTTTCTTTCTTTCCCCTTCCTTCCTTCCTTCCTTCCTTCCTTCCTTCCTTCCTTCCTTCCTTCCTTCCTTCTCTTTCTCTGTCTAAACCCAAGCAGACTCTAAGCAATTTACAAAGCTTACATCTAAAACACAATACCAGTGTGACATTATAAAGAATTAAAATTCTATTCCAATTTAATATGTATACATTTCAGATGTGACAAGAGCATCAGGATATTCTGAAGATATAGCTGGCATCACTTTAGAGCAGTGGTCCCCAACCTTTTTATCGCCGCGGCCCGCTGAGCGCGCGCAGGGGTGGGGGCACGGCCCAGGAGCTTTTGCGCACGGCCCATTGCACACGGCCCAGGAGCTTTTGCGCACGGCCCAGGAGCCTTTGCGCTGCAGCGTTCATG